GAGAACGCCGCGGCCCCTGAGCTCTGGAATCGCGTCGCCCACGAAGCTTCTGAACACGCGGTGAGCGCCGAGCGCGTGTCGCGCAACTCAAACTTGTTGTTTTATTATTCAACTTCATTCGTCCCCCTCTCTCTCTGTGTGCGTGTGGCGCGCTCAAGGCTCGTGGGCGACACGTCGTTCACTTCCACGTTGTCCGCTCGACTTCTTTAAAAAAATGTTACAATTTTTTAAAATAAAAAATAAATTTGTATTAAATTTTTTTTTTTTAAGGAGTTTCTTTTAGTGGGTTTACCTATACAATGCATGGGTCTCCTTGCATATCTAGATTATATTTATTAGTTCAACAACAACAACGAGAACACCGCTGCCGGGTGACTACCTAACACGAGGTCTGACCCTGCGTAGTAAAGTGTTGTGTGTTGCTAAATTGGTTATGGCTACAAAGTATGTTTAATGGATAGTATTATTCCACACAAACTTTGCGTTTGTGAGCAGGACTTTACGTGAAGGGATGACACAAATGCACGCCACGTTTTTTTATTTAAAATAGTTAAATTTATCAATGTCCTGGGTCACAAAAGCAACGTTTGTGAGGAGATTTTATTTAAATTTATTTTTAATTTATTTTAGTTTTATTTATTTCTACCTACGTGACTTTACTGAAAAAAACCTCCGAGTATGAATCCTTGCAGTCACGAAAGCTTCAAATTTAGAATTTGTTGAGATTAACAATAGCCACTTTCTCTACTTTTGAGACATAAGCTATTAGATAATAAAACTGTACTACTAAGGGACAATGTTGTTGTGACACTGTTATTAATGGAGTGGATTATTCACTTCGCTTTTGTGTCCTGGGTCACACAAGCAACGTTTGTGTGGAGTATTAAGAGCCCACTTTCTCTACTTTTGAGGCACTAGCTATTAGGTAATAACACTTTACTACACAGGGACAACAATAAAACATGTTTTTGTTACACACTGAATTATCTACTTAATCGAGGAAATCTCTAAAGCTTTCGTGACTGCAGGGACTTGTCTTCTTGGTTCTTTCGGTAAAGTCGCGTAGAAGGGCTCGTTTTTTGTCTGAAATCCTACGGCCTTTCACTGGAAAAAACACCTGCGGTACTAAACTCTACTGATCTGGTATCGACAATCAAGGGGATTTCCCTGTCCCCAGACGACCTGCTTGTCAGTTTGGATGTGGTTTCCTTATTCACCAAAGTTCCTGTACCTGACACCATCGCAATCATTGAAGACTTGATTCATCAAGGACTGAATGCTGGGGTACCCCCCCCCCCCCTGGTGAGACACTGCTTAACCAATACATACTTCACCTGGAATGGAACTTTCTACAAACAAACTGAGGGTACCCCAATGGGCTCCCCCCTATCTCCGGTTGTAGCCAACGTTTTCATGAAGAAATTTGAGACTGACGCCATCCAGACTGCCACTCTATGCCCGACCTTGTGGAAGAGGTACGTAGATGACACTTTTGTCATTTGGCCACATGGCCGGCCTGCTCTAGACCAATTCCTCGACCACATCAATTCCATACACCCAGCCATCAGATTCACCATGGAAGTCGAAAAAGATGGCAAGCTACCCTTTTTGGATGTCCTAATTAAAAGGAGACCTGATGGTTCAATGAGCCATTCTGTCTACAGGAAAGCCACCCACACGGATGCTTGCCTAAAACCGGATTCCCACCACCATCCATCCCAGAAAAACTCCCTCGTCAAGACTCTATACCAGGGGTCCTCAAACTTTTTAAACAGGGGGCCAGTTCACTGTCCCTCAGACCGTTGGAGGGCCGGACTATAGTTAAAAAACAACTATTAACAAATTCCTATGCACACTGCATATATCTTATTTTGAAGTGAAGAAACAAAACGGGAACATACAATATTTAAAATGAAGAACAAGTAAAGTTAAATCAACAAACTTGCCAGTATTTCAATGGGAACTATGGGCCTGCTTTTGGCTAATGAGATGGTCAATGTCCGGTTCCATATTTGTCACTGCTAGTCGTAACAAGTGATGCAAGTGTGCATCCGTTAGTCTAGATCTGGTTGGAGATTTCAAATGTTTCATTCTGGAAAAAGTGTGTTCACAGACATAAGCGCTGCCAAAGATGGTTGCCATTTTGAGTGCATGGTTCCTGAGATGAGGATATGTCTCAGAGGGGAGAGATGCATAGAAATTATGAAGGCTGCTTGACTTGAATGCGTCTTTCAGAGAGTCACAATTCTGCAGTTCAGCGAGTTCCATTTGGTAAATTGTATCCACATTTTCAATGTCAATAGAAAATGGGTTATGGAAAAGCTGTATGTCCTGTTCATGGAGATGAAGCTCTTTAAATCTAAATTGGAACTCCTTTTGCAATTTTTCCAGTGAATCCACACATGTTTTGTTTGGGAATGCAACCAATGTTTTTTCCGCTAACAGATTTTGAGTTGTGGGGAGATGGCAGAAGTTTTCCTCCTTCACTTGTTTGATGAGGAGGCCTAATTTTACTTCAAATGCTTTGACATGTGATTACATATCACAGATGAGCTTCCCCTTTCCTTGAAGTTGCACATTGAAACTGTTGAGTAGCTCTGTTACATCTGTCAGAAAGGCAAGGTGCCATTTCCATTCTGCATCATTGAGCTCTGGTACTTTTTTGTTTTTTGAAAACAGAAAAGCTGTAATCTGTGGAAGTAAGTCCTAGAAACGTTTCAAAACTCTCCCTCGACTCAGCCAACGGACTTCTGTGTGGTACAGAACATCTTCATAGTCAACATTTAGCTCGGACAGAAATTCCTGAAATTGTCTGTGGTTTAGTGCATGATCTCTAATGAAGTTAACAGTCCCACTTCAGTGATTTACTACACAGCGCTTGTTGGTGGATGAGGCAGTGTATGGCTATTGGATGAGAATGGTTATGTTTGTCCATCTCTTGGTTAATGCGAGCAATTACTCCTTTCTTAGACCCCACCATGCTAGGAGCACAATCAGTTGTCACACTGGCTAGTTTAGCCCAGTTCAGCTCCAAACCATTCACAGTTTGGCAAACCTTTTCATAGATATCCTCTCTTGTAGTTGTTCCTTTGGTGCTTTGCAGTGCAGCAAGCTCTTCTGTGACTTCGAAATAGTCATTCGTCCCACAAATAAAAATTAGAAGTTGTGCAGAATCACGAACATCGTTGCTTTCGTCGAGTGCCAAGGAAAAATAGGAAAGTTTTTTTTGTGGAGTTTTGCAAATGCTGATGGAAATTGTCTCCCATTTCTTCAATCCTCCGTGTAATTGTAGGTCCTAAAAGACTCACTGTACTAAATAAATCGGCCTTCTCTGGACACATCTCTTTGGCAACAGAAAGAAGGCATTCTTTAACAAATTCTCCCTCAACGAATGGTCTGCCAGTGCACACTATTAGCTTGGCAACTTGAAAACTTGCTTTCAGTGATGAAATATTTAGCTGCTTCTGCTTCACAAAAGTATTTTGCGGAGTTAATGTATTTTTCAGTTTTAATATTTTATCTTTTCTCACTTTTCTCCGACCAAACAATCATATTTATCTTTATGTTGAGTTTCATAGTGTCGACATAAATTGTATTCTTTGAACACAGACACTATATTCTGGCATATCAGACACACAGCTCTTTCCTTGTACTGCATGAAAAAGTAATCATAAGTCCACTGTTTTTTGAATATCCTACACTCCGAGTCAATTTTTCTCTTTCTTGACATCATTGTTTCCTAGGGAGTCAAAATTGCTATTAGTAAAATACCAATATATATACAGCGCTACAAAAACAATATAGCAGCAATAACTTTGCCCACACAGAGACATACAGACTGCACTGCCCATCAATGCAGTCTGATTGGGGGAACTCCACTTTTACCCCAGGCTCACACTGGTGTGGGTGCCATTAAAAAGTTAATTACACCTGCAGTTTTGTTCACAGATCGCAGTGCGATCTGCGAACTCGCATAGGAATATGATCGCATGGGGGAGAAGACCCATGCGATCCACTGCAGGAAAAAAGGCACATGTGCCTTTTTTTCTTCCGAATCTAATGCAAGTTCAGCCATACAAGCATATGGCTGAACTCGCACTGCTCAGAGATCGCAACAGTATGAACCGGGGCTTACACAACATACAACATATAACCTCATATAATTGAATAGCAATCATAATATAAATGCACTTACTGTCATTTAAATTGGGTTTCCTACTCCTCGGCTGTCTGTCACTGACTAGCACGGGAAAACAGCAGGCAGCCCCTCCAGAGATCAATCTGTTATTACCCCTCTATCATTTACTCAGCACACAGGAATATCACTGAGAGTGGAGCCGAGGGGCAAGTGAGGGAGCTGAGGGAGGGAGAGCCAGTCAAGCGCAGCCAGGGGAGGGCTGGCAGCCTTAGGCCTGGCGGGCAAATCCAGTCAATTGGCCCATTGAACCATTCACCAGCGCAGCCCAATGAGTGCCCACCGCCGCAGCTCAATCAGTGCCCACCGCCTCAGCTCAATCAGTGATCACCAGCGCAGCCAAATCAGTGCCCACCGCCGCAGCTCAATCAGTGCTCGCCACCGCAGCCCAATCAGTGCCCACCACCGCAGCCCAATGAGTGCTCACCAGCGCAGCCAAATTAGTGCTCACAAGCGCAGCCCAATTAGTGACCATGGGCCGGATAAATGTCCTCGGCGGGCCGAATGTGGCCCGCGGGCCGTAGTTTGAGGACCCCTGGTTTAGACGGTACGGAGGTCACGGTTTAAAGTTCTCAACATCCACCAAAACCAAGAATGGGCCAACATCCCACCAGAGTGGGGCGCGTGAAGCGCGAGGCGAGACTGCGCTAGAAGCTGGTGCAGCAGCTCGATGCTGCCGGCGTCTGAGATGCCGACACGTGCAACTTGGCCAAGGTCCCTTCTACATCCGCGCGTTAGCAAGTGAAGGGTGCAACAGGGTGCAACACAATCACGCACGAGGCACTTGGTGTCTTGTGGGCTTTATTTACGTTCCAATAAGAGATAAAGATACAGCGAGGTCCACAAAGTGCTGCAACGAACGCTTCGCAGCTGCTAAGGCCGCTTTGAGCTCAACGGCAAAAAGACCGAGTTTATCAGCGATGCAAAGTAAGCAACAACACCCCTTGTTTAAGGGACATTCAAAAAAGGTTACTAAATGTAACTTTTGCACTATTGACAGGAACAACTTTGTTCAAAAAGTTACTCGCGCTAAATCTTACAAAAACCCTGGGTAATTACGTAACAACTTTTGGTGCCTACATTTTCCATGTTTTATATGAAAAAATTAAAAAAATCAAAAGTGAAAATCGCCATGGAACAGCATTAATGGCAGTATTTGCCACATTGAAGCATCATTTGTGCAGAAATGTCTATTGAGGTACAACTTACCATTCCCATCAACTCAAACCTTGGCAGTCAAATATTCAGAGGCATTACGTTGCAAACGAGGTCACGGTGCATACAAAACCACTCAATGGCAAAGAGGCTCAACTGTGCCGGTCGCCAGAGGCTTTCGTCCAATATCAAAACAAAAGTAACTTTCGGTTTAAAGTCTTTAAACGAGATGCAAATGGAGACCGCTCGGCCAACGAGTTCTTCAGGGTTTCCAGCCTCGCCAGCAGCTCCCGACGTCGAATCTGCTCGCGCCGCTTCTCCGCCTTGAGTCTCTCCTCCTCGCGCTTCAGGGTGCGCGAATATTCTATCGCGCGCTTCAGGATCTGCGCCTTGGCCGCCTTCTCGTCGTGCGCCAGCTCCGGTATGCCGCCGCGCAGCCACTGGAAACCCTTCTTGATGGAGTCGCGCCGCCGACGCTCCTGGTCGTTGTGCCGCTCGCCAAGCCCCTCCGAGCCGCCGGAGCTCCGAGGGCCACCGCCGCTCCCCGTCGAGACGGCGCGGGACGAGCCGGCACCGCCAGGCGGCGCCCCGGCTCCGCGCGGATCCCCGCGGCGCCGGCGGGGACGGCGTCTTCGCCCCGCGCGCAGGCGGCGAGGGGGCGGCGTAGTTGTGCTGCTGCTGGTGCACGGGCGGCGTGGACGGCGGCGGGGCGGGTCGCCGCCGCTGCTGCTGCCGCTGCCGCCGGTTGTTGTCGTTGTACCGGGGGGCCGTGTTTGTGTTGTGCACGGCGCGTAGCGCTACGCTCGCTTTGGCGTGGCTCCACTTCTCCACGGTCACCACGTCAATCTCTCCATCTTCCGCGTCGTCGTCATTGTCTGCAGAAGGGAAACACGTATACGTCAGCAACGCAATGTAGAAAAATGCAACATTATAAACCTAAACTGCGCAGGTGTAGTGCCAGAAGAGGGGAGGAGCTGCTGGGGGCTCTGGGACCCTAGACAGAGAAGCCCTCGGCGCCAGGCGCTAGGATCCCAGGCACCCCAGACAGCTAAGCCCCTTGGCGCCACCAACGGGGGGGGCTGTGTGTGCTCTGTGGGATATCTGGGGGCGCACACGGCCTCACCCCTCGTTGGGGACGAGGCATAAAAGGGCAGCTCCCTGGCCGATCGGGGCCAGTCGCAGCTCAAGACCCAAGACCCGCCAGCCAGCCAGCTTAGGACCCTGGACCCCCTCGTCCCGCTTGTCCTTGTAAGGGCCGGGATGCTGTGAGGGCCAGTGGTGGGACTTTGGGACTCCCGGCTCTACGTCCTTGTAAGGGCGAGTTCCGAGTCCAGACCCCCCAACCGTGGCTGGGTCGGGTCAGGTAGCTCCCCTAGGGTAATTGTAGCCCGAGGACCCCAGAGCGTAGCCAGAGTAGTGTACCTAGGCTGTGTACCTAGGCTATAACAGAGTATCAGCACTGTTGAGGTGTTGTATTGTAATAAAGAAGTTACTTCTACAAGTGTCTCCGGAACCCATTACACAGGTACAGGACCTGTTGAAATGTACACACGCAACATTCGTGTAGTGAGCTTGACAACTGTAAGTTTATTGTAAACGAAGATGAACAAGCTAATTCGAGAAGTTTTCGTGACTGCAAGGATCCATACTTTTTGGAAGGATGTCATTGACCAACTTTAGCAGCCTCACAGTTCACTGCAGGGTTAGGGTTAGGGTCAGGGGTTAGGGGTCAGGGGTTAGGGGTCAGGGGTCAGGGGTTAGGGTAGGGGTTAGAGTTAGGGTCAGGGGTTAGGGTTTAGGGGTTAGGGGTCAGGGATCGAGGTTAGGCTCCACCCCCCCCCTCTTAACCTCTATGTAATCTCGTGTCTCTCAGAGCTCGCTTCACTTGATACGGTGATTTTGCTGTAACTGTTCCACCTGAAGATGGAAGCTCGAGTTGCCTCCGAAACGTCGTGATTAATTTCATGTTTGACCTGCGTGACTTGACCGAAAAAAACAAAAGGCACAACCGCGCTAAACACGACCGAATAAAGAAACACGCAAAACAGCGTGCAAGTCTCACCCGAATCACTGCGCGTCTCGTTGCCGGGAGACATCGCCCCGCCCACGACAGTCTCCCCATCCTCCCGCCCCTCGGCCGGCAGGTGCCGCCCTCCCGGCTCAAAGGGCAGCATCTCGGCGGGCACCGCGGCGGCCGCGGGGCTCGGCACGGCGCGGGAGACCGCGGGCGGCGGCGGCGCCGACTTGTCGGCGGGCGCCAGCCGCCCCGGTGTGGCTCTGGCCGAGGAGGCGGCGCTGCTCCACATGCAGTCCCGCAGCAGCATGGCTCCCACGGCTCCCACGCCGCTGCCGCCGGCGGGGTCCCAGACGTGGCCGCGGCTCGCCACTTCGCCGCCTTCGCGGCTCGGATCGCCCGAGGGCGGCGGCGTTGGCGTTGAGTTCGCTCCGTCCGGCGCGGGGGGCAGGAGCTCAAACTTCTTCCAAATGTCCTCGCTGGGCAGCGTGGACTGGTGCCAGTCGCAGTGCAACTCCTCGCCGTCGTAGAAGGTCGAGGAGGAGGAGGGGGAGTCATCCCTGCCGGCAGACATTGCGTGGATGATGACGACGCTGCTGCTACACGTGGTGATGATGATGACGCTGCTGCTACTTTCGTCACGCGACAACACGCCGCGTGGTGGCGGGTAGGGGTTGTTGTTCTTGTTTACATTCCACCACCACCCTCCTCCCTGTTGTTGTTGCGTCTTGTTTACTTCTTCTGCAGGGGGCCGCCGGGCTCGCCTGTAACAACAGCAAACAATAAAGAAAGCAGCGTCGTTAGCAAAGCGAGCAAACACCACACAGAGTCGTAAGTGGCGCTGTTACTCATCCACAGCTCAATTTCATTAATCTCCGGGACGTTAAATTTCGATTTAAAGCTTTCGTGACTGCAGGGATTCATCTTCTTGGTTCTTTCGGTAAAGTCGCGTAGAAGGGAAACAATAAAATAATAAAAATATAAAACAATAACAATTCTCATGACGTTTCGTGTTGCAGTCGACACGTCGTGAGAATTTTTATTGTGTAGTGAATACTTGGGACGCAAGAGGGAGCGCACACACAGGGTGACACACACACACACAGGGTGACACACACACACACAGGGTGGCACACAAAGATCCCCCATATAGCCTTAACAGACTGTAGGGGCAAGTGCTGTTAGCAAGCACCTATGAAGGCCGGAACGGTACACGAGGGGGTGGGTGGCCAGCACCACGCCCGACCGCCTTTGTCTCCCTAGTGGCAATGTTTACACACCGCACCAGGTACTCATTTGAGGCTGAGTCGACCTAGGGAAGGCCCGGGACCGGTTCAGACAATCGTCTGATGTTGGCCGTGAGCGGGAATCGAACCCGGGTCGCCAGGTTCATAGCGCAGCGCGCTAACCGCTACACTACCGCTCCCCATACAGCGTGACACACACACAGGGTGACACATACAGGGTGACACACACAGGGTGACACACACACACAGGGTGACACACACAGGGTGACACACACACACAGCGTGACACACACACACAGGGTGACACACACACAGCGTGACACACACAGGGTGACACACACACACAGGGTGACACACACAGGGTGACACACACACGCACAAGGTGACAGACACACACACACAGGGCGACACACACACACAGGGTGACACACACACGCACACAGGGTGACACACACACAGCGTGACACACACACACAGCGTGACACACACACAGGGTGACACACACACAGCGTGACACACACAGCGTGACACACACAGGGTGAGACACACAGGGTGACACACACACAGGGTGACACACACACACAGGGTGACACACACACACATGGTGACACACACACACACAGGGTGACACACACACACAGCGTGACACACACACACAGGGTGACACACACACAGCGTGACACACACACAGGGTGACACACACACACACAGCGTGACACACACAGGGTGAGACACACAGGGTGACACACACAGGGTGACACACACACAGGGTGACACACACACACAGGGTGACACACACACAGCGTGACACACACACAGGGTGACACACACACACACAGCGTGACACACACACAGGGTGACACACACACACACAGCGTGACACACACAGGGAGAGACACACAGGGCGACACACACACAGCGTGACACACACACACACAGGGTGACACACACACGCAGGGTGACACACACACACATGGTGACACACACACACACACAGGGTGACACACACACACAGCGTGACACACACACAGGGTGACACACACAGGGTGACACACACACAGCGTGACACACACACAGGGTGACACACACACACAGCGTGACACACACAGGGTGACACACACAGCGTGACACACACACACAGGGTGACACACACACACACGCGTGACACACACACAGGGTGACACACACACACACAGCGTGACACACACAGGGTGACACACACACACAGGGTGACACACACACAGCGTGACACACACACAGGGTGACACACACAGGGTGAGACACACAGGGTGACACACACACACAGGGTGACACACACACAGCGTGACACACACACAGAGTGACACACAGGGTGAGACACACACAGCGTGACACATACAGGGTGACACACACACAGGGTGACACACACACACAGGGTGACACACACACAGCGTGACACATACAGGGTGACACACACACAGCGTGACACACACACACAGCGTGACACACACACAGCGTGACACACACACACAGGGTGACACACACAGGGTGACACACACAGGGTGACACACACAGGGTGACACACACACACGCAGGGTGACACACACACACATGGTGACACACACACACAGGGTGACACACACACACAGCGTGACACACACACACAGGGTGACACACACAGGGTGACACACACACAGCGTGACACACACACAGGGTGACACACACAGCGTGACACACACACACAGGGTGACACACACACACACGCGTGACACACACACAGGGTGACACACACACAGCGTGACACACACAGGGTGACACACACACACAGGGTGACACACACACAGGGTGACACACACACAGCGTGACACACACACAGGGTGACACACACAGGGTGAGACACACAGGGTGACACACACACACAGGGTGACACACACAGCGTGACACACACACAGGGTGACACACACACAGGGTGACACACACACACAGGGTGACACACACACACAGGGTGACACACACACACAGGGTGACACACACACAGCGTGACACACACACAGCGTGACACACACACACACAGCGTGACACACACACAGGGTGACACACACACAGGGTGACACACACACACAGGGTGACACACACACACAGGGTGACACACACACACAGGGTGACACACACACAGCGTGACACACACACAGCGTGACACACACACACACAGCGTGACACACACAGATTACAATGATGACGACGATGAGACGCTTCGCTGAGCTGCCGTAAGTGACGGGAGAAGTCGGCGTCAGAGCAGGAGCTGTAGAGCCGCTCCCAGTGAAGTCCACCCCCAAGTGGCTGGTGGACTCGGGGTGACGAGTGATGGTGGGGGGGGGGCTACTCACGGTCAAGGGGCAGGACGAGGGGGGGTCACAGAGACGCCAGCAACGCCACGAAGCCGCCGCCGCCGGCAGCAGCAGCTGTGGTGGTGGTGGAGAAAGAAGCCTCCATTGGGGTGGGGGCAGGGCGGGTGGTCGGACTCCGCCACCAAGTGGAGGGGGTGGGGGGGGGGAACTTGGGCGAGCCCATCTCGCAGTGGAGCTGGTGAGCGCCGCGGCCCATTGGCCGGGAGGGCACCGCCTCTCCCCCCCCCCCCCCTCAACATCCACCGCGGTGGTACAGGCCGGGGGGCGGGTGAGTCACGAGACACTGGACTGCACAGTGAGATGTGAAGCGTGAACAACGCGGTGCATTAGTTTATATCTGTGTAGAAAATAATACATTGTCAGTTTTTTTTCTTTTAAAGCACAGTTGGTAGATGAAGATTATATTTTAGTGATATTGATAGTGGTGACACTGACCGCTGGCGAATCGCCGTCATGGTCGAGGCCGCCATCTTGTCCCCCTCACGACTCTAAAATGGCCGCCAGCGAGGAGGGGGAGGAGCCAGAAAATTTGGCGGGAAATCAAACCGCCGCGTCACGTGACAGGCGAGACACTCAACTGTGATTGGCTCCAAGGCGGAGAGAGAGATTTTATTTTTTTAGAGAAAAACTTAATTTTTTTTACCGTACGTACAACTAATTACTAAAACTCGCCATCAACACTAAACACTCGCATTGGCATTCGTAGCGATCTACATAAATAAAGTAAAACATTTATTGGTTATGTAAATTTAAAAAAACGCGGGAATATCAGAAATCTTATACCGTATAAGGTGCAAAAAATTGACCCAAATGAGATTCCGTAGTTGGTAGATGTTGACTACCTCGCCTGGTCTACAGGAGGTCGTGGGTTCAATCCCAGACACTGAGAGATGTTGACTACCTCGCCTGGTCTACAGTACGTGGGTTCAATCCCAGACACTGAGAGATGTTGACTACCTCGCCTGGTCTACAGGAGGTCGTGGGTTCAATCCCAGACACTGAGAGATGTTGACTACCTCGCCTGGTCTACAGGAGGTCGTGGGTTCAATCCCAGACACTGAGAGATGTTGACTACCTCGCCTGGTCTACAGGATGTCGTGGGTTCAATCCCAGACACTGAGAGATGTTGACTACCTCGCCTGGTCTACAGGAGGTCGTGGGTTCAATCCCAGACACTGAGAGATGTTGACTACCTCGCCTGGTCTACAGGAGGTCGTGGGTTCAATCCCAGACACTGAGAGATGTTGACTACCTCGCCTGGTCTACAGAGGTCGTGGGTTCAATCCCAGACACTGAGAGATGTTGACTACCTCGCCTGGTCTACAGGAGGTCGTGGGTTCAATCCCAGACACTGAGAGATGTTGACTACCTCGCCTGGTATGCAGGAGGTCGTGGGTTCAATCCCAGACACTGAGAGATGTTGACTACCTCGCCTGGTCTACAGGAGGTCGTGGGTTCAATCCCAGACACTGAGAGATGTTGACTACCTCGCCTGGTACACAGGAGGTCGTGGGATTCAATCCCAGACACTGAGAGATGTTGACTACCTCGCCTGGTACACAGGAGGTCGTGGATTCAATCCCAGACACTGAGAGATGTTGACTACCTCGCCTGGTCTACAGGAGGTCGTGGGTTCAATCCCAGACACTGAGAGATGTTGACTACCTCGCCTGGTCTACAGGAGGTCGTGGGTTCAATCCCAGACACTGAGAGATGTTGACTACCTCGCCTGGTCTACAGGAGGTCGTGGGTTCAATCCCAGACACTGAGAGATGTTGACTACCTCGCCTGGTCTACAGGAGGTCGTGGGTTCAATCCCAGACACTGAGAGATGTTGACTACCTCGCCTGGTCTACAGGAGGTCGTGGGTTCAATCCCAGACACTGAGAGATGTTGACTACCTCGCCTGGTCTACAGGAGGTCGTGGGTTCAATCCCAGACACTGAGAGATGTTGACTACCTCGCCTGGTCTACAGGAGGTCGTGGGTTCAATCCCAGACACTGAGAGATGTTGACTACCTCGCCTGGTCTACAGGAGGTCGTGGGTTCAATCCCAGACACTGAGAGATGTTGACTACCTCGCCTGGTCTACAGGAGGTCGTGGGTTCAATCCCAGACACTGAGAGATGTTGACTACCTCGCCTGGTCTACAGGAGGTCGTGGGTTCAATCCCAGACACTGAGAGATGTTGACTACCTCGCCTGGTCTACAGGAGGTCGTGGGTTCAATCCCAGACACTGAGAGATGTTGACTACCTCGCCTGGTCTACAGGAGGTCGTGGGTTCAATCCCAGACACTGAGAGATGTTGACTACCTCGCCTGGTCTACAGGAGGTCGTGGGTTCATCCCAGACACTGAGAGATGTTGACTACCTCGCCTGGTCTACAGGAGGTCGTGGGTTCAATCCCAGACACTGAGAGATGTTGACTACCTCGCCTGGTCTACAGGAGGTCGTGGGTTCAATCCCAGACACTGAGAGATGTTGACTACCTCGCCTGGTCTACAGGAGGTCGTGGGTTCAATCCCAGACACTGAGAGATGTTGACTACCTCGCCTGGTCTACAGGAGGTCGTGGGTTCAATCCCAGACACTGAGAGATGTTGACTACCTCGCCTGGTCTACAGGAGGTCGTGGGTTCAATCCCAGACACTGAGAGATGTTGACTACCTCGCCTGGTCTACAGGAGGTCGTGGGTCAATCCCAGACACTGAGAGATGTTGACTACCTCGCCTGGTCTACAGGAGGTCGTGGGTTCAATCCCAGACACTGAGAGATGTTGACTACCTCGCCTGGTCTACAGGAGGTCGTGGGTTCAATCCCAGACACTGAGAGATGTTGACTACCTCGCCTGGTCTACAGGAGGTCGTGGGTTCAATCCCAGACACTGAGAGATGTTGACTACCTCGCCTGGTCTACAGGAGGTCGTGGGTTCAATCCCAGACACTGAGAGATGTTGACTACCTCGCCTGGTCTACAGGAGGTCGTGGGTTCAATCCCAGACACTGAGAGATGTTGACTACCTCGCCTGGTCTACAGGAGGTCGTGGTTCAATCCCAGACACTGAGAGATGTTGACTACCTCGCCTGGTCTACAGGAGGTCGTGGGTTCAATCCCAGACACTGAGAGATGTTGACTACCTCGCCTGGTCTACAGGAGGTCGTGGGTTCAATCCCAGACACTGAGAGATGTTGACTACCTCGCCTGGTCTACAGGAGGTCGTGGGTTCAATCCCAGACACTGAGAGATGTTGACTACCTCGCCTGGTCTACAGGAGGTCGTGGGTTCAATCCCAGACACTGAGAGATGTTGACTACCTCGCCTGGTCTACAGGAGGTCGTGGGTTCAATCCCAGACACTGAGAGATGTTGACTACCTCGCCTGGTCTACAGGAGGTCGTGGGTTCAATCCCAGACACTGAGAGATGTTGACTACCTCGCCTGGTCTACAGGAGGTCGTGGGTTCAATCCCAGACACTGAGAGATGTTGACTACCTCGCCTGGTCTACAGGAGGTCGTGGGTTCAATCCCAGACACTGAGAGATGTTGACTACCTCGCCTGGTCTACAGGAGGTCGTGGGTTCAATCCCAGACACTGAGAGATGTTGACTACCTCGCCTGGTCTACAGGAGGTCGTGGGTTCAATCCCAGACACTGAGAGATGTTGACTACCTCGCCTGGTCTACAGGAGGTCGTGGGTTCAATCCCAGACACTGAGAGATGTTGACTACCTCGCCTGGTCTACAGGAGGTCGTGGGTTCAATCCCAGACACTGAGAGATGTTGACTACCTCGCCTGGTCTACAGGAGGTCGTGGGTTCAATCCCAGACACTGAGAGATGTTGACTACCTCGCCTGGTCTACAGGAGGTCGTGGGTTCAATCCCAGACACTGAGAGATGTTGACTACCTCGCCTGGTCTACAGGAGGTCGTGGGTTCAATCCCAGACACTGAGAGATGTTGACTACCTCGCCTGGTCTACAGGAGGTCGTGGGTTCAATCCCAGACACTGAGAGATGTTGACTACCTCGCCTGGTCTACAGGAGGTCGTGGGTTCAATCCCAGACACTGAGAGATGTTGACTACCTCGCCTGGTCTACAGGAGGTCGTGGGTTCAATCCCAGACACTGAGAGATGTTGACTACCTCGCCTGGTCTACAGGAGGTCGTGGGTTCAATCCCAGACACTGAGAGATGTTGACTACCTCGCCTGGTCTACAGGAGGTCGTGGGTTCAATCCCAGACACTGAGAGATGTTGACTACCTCGCCTGGTCTACAGGAGGTCGTGGGTTCAATCCCAGACACTGAGAGATGTTGACTACCTCGCCTGGTCTACAGGAGGTCGTGGGTTCAATCCCAGACACTGAGAGATGTTGACTACCTCGCCTGGTCTACAGGAGGTCGTGGGTTCAATCCCAGACACTGAGAGATGTTGACTACCTCGCCTGGTCTACAGGAGGTCGTGGGTTCAATCCCAGACACTGAGAGATGTTGACTACCTCGCCTGGTCTACAGGAGGTCGTGGGTTCAATCCCAGACACTGAGAGATGTTGACTACCTCGCCTGGTCTACAGGAGGTCGTGGGTTCATCCCAGACACTGAGAGATGTTGACTACCTCGCCTGGTCTACAGGAGGTCGTGGGTTCAATCCCAGACACTGAGAGATGTTGACTACCTCGCCTGGTCTACAGGAGGTCGTGGGTTCAATCCCAGACACTGAGAGATGTTGACTACCTCGCCTGGTCTACAGGAGGTCGTGGGTTCAATCCCAGACACTGAGAGATGTTGACTACCTCGCCTGGTCTACAGGAGGTCGTGGGTTCAATCCCAGACACTGAGAGATGTTGACTACCTCGCCTGGTCTACAGGAGGTCGTGGGTTCAATCCCAGACACTGAGAGATGTTGACTACCTCGCCTGGTCTACAGGAGGTCGTGGGTTCAATCCCAGACACTGAGAGATGTTGACTACCTCGCCTGGTCTACAGGAGGTCGTGGGTTCAATCCCAGACACTGAGAGATGTTGACTACCTCGCCTGGTCTACAGGAGGTCGTGGGTTCAATCCCAGACACTGAGAGATGTTGACTACCTCGCCTGGTCTACAGGAGGTCGTGGGTTCAATCCCAGACACTGAGAGATGTTGACTACCTCGCCTGGTCTACAGGAGGTCGTGGGTTCAATCCCAGACACTGAGAGATGTTGACTACCTCGCCTGGTCTACAGGAGGTCGTGGGTTCAATCCCAGACACTGAGAGATGTTGACTACCTCGCCTGGTCTACAGGAGGTCGTGGGTTCAATCCCAGACACTGAGAGATGTTGACTACCTCGCCTGGTCTACAGGAGGTCGTGGGTTCAATCCCAGACACTGAGAGATGTTGACTACCTCGCCTGGTCTACAGGAGGTCGTGGTTCAATCCCAGACACTGAGAGATGTTGACTACCTCGCCTGGTCTACAGGAGGGTCGTGGGTTCAATCCCAGACACTGAGAGATG